TACTCACCCGGGGCCCCGATGATCAGTAGAAGGGCCCCGATCCTAGTCAGGACTCTCAGCGCCATGTCGTTCTCTATCTTGTCGGCCTCACCCAGCTCAGGGAGGCGGGGACACAATTACGTCAAAACGAAAGTGGAAGTAAGTAGAACCAGCTACTTTCTGTGTGTGCAACCGGAAAGACCTTCCTCCCTGCGAACGCTGATAGCAACAGTTCCGGTGTTCTGATGATTCCCTTCTGTCACAGCGGCTGCGTGCTCCCATCTCATCCGATGCAGTTCAATGCCGGGGACCCCCACCGGGTTACACCCCCTTTCTGCCCCCCATGTCACCCACATACACCCCAATACTTCCCACAATATCACCACCATACACTTCAAGTGTGGAGTATATAATGTACAGCCCAGAGTATATGGCTGTGCAGAGATGGGGGGCACTTTGTATGGAGGTCCCGCCCCCAGTCCCGCCCCCCAGCACACTTCTAGGACTTTGGTGAATGATCAGAAGGGGGATCCTGGAGGTCGGGGTCCTCACATTGCTCCTCCCCCGTCCTTCGGTCTGGCGGCTGCATTTGTTTTCTTTTCCAGGCAGTGCAGAGAGACGCCTGTTGATCCTGCCGGAAATGCTGCGACCTCCGCACTCACTGGTTGACCCTATAGAGCAGACCCGGGGGTATTAGGGTCCTCGGGCTGGATTGGGCCCTTGATCTGCAGCTGTCGGGCCCGCTGACGGTAGGGCAGGTGCATCCCCTGCAAGCTAGAGCCTAGCACAGGTCTGGGATCGGTCCGTGCTCGGACTACGTCTCTCTTCGGTCCTCGGACGCTAGGATCCAACTTCTCACAATGTGCATTAGAAGCTGCAGGGAGTCAGATAGAGCTCCGCCTCCTTTCCTGGCTGGAGGACCTCCAGCATCATCTAGTACCTTGGTTCTCAACAGGTGGGTCACGACCCCATGTTCAGTGGGTCACCGCATGCCTTCCACTTTACTAGGTGAGAGGCTTCTCAGCTTCCCCATAGTGCAGAACTGTAAGTTCTCGTGCCAAGTAGCCATTCAAAATTTGCTGCCCAGTGTTGAGTGTCTACTTGAGGTGGGGTGGGCTGGATGGTATGGTTGCTAGGGAGCTCCATCCATACGTACATTGCTTACAGCTACCTTGCGTACCCTGTAGAGGTGCCTTGACCGGAGTGACGTCACATTCTGGTTTCCGGCACCTCTACAGGGTACGCAAGGAAGCTGAACAAGTGGATGCACATATGGATGGAGCTCCATAACCGCACAGCAGCTCACACTGCATTCCATTGCAGTGCGACTTGGGTCACGACTTGGGTGACCGAGGACAAATGTGGGTCTTGAGGTTACACAGGTTGAGAACCACTGGTCTAGTAGTTTCCTCCCCAGCCTGACTGTCCCTGGCCCCGTCCCTTTCATTCATTGGATTTCACTTCTTTCCATCATGGAGGCTCAGCATCACATGTGGGCATTACCTAGGGAGGGTCTGTATCCTTCTTTAGGATCTTGTGGGGGATCTGGTGACCTTTCTTAGGATCTTGTGACTTTTCTTGGGACCTTGTGGGGGATCTTGTGACCTTTCTTGGGATCTAGTGACCTTAGGACCTTGTGGGGGCTCTGGTGACCTTTCTTGGGATCTTGTGGTGGATCTAGTGACCTTTCTTAGGACCTTGTGGGGGGGGATCTGGTGACCGTTCTTAGGACTTTGTGTGGGATCTGGTGACCTTCCTTAGGATCTTGTGTGGGATCTGGTGACCTTTCTTAGGATCTTGTGGGGGATCTAGTGACCTTTCTTATGACCTTGTGGGGATCTTGTGGAGATCTAGTGACCTTTCTCATGACTCCGCTTTCCCTAATCTTCCTGGGAGAGGGAGGAGGAGGGGCAGGCGGTGTGAGGCCTGTATGAGGGCCGTGTACAGACCGGCCCAGGAATGTCCCTGCAGGAAAAGTGAGGGGAGACGGGACCTCCAACACCAATAACAGGACCTCCTCACCGGGGGCTCCGGACAGGACTGCTGGATGTTGTAGTTCTACTCCAGACTTCATACTGAAGGATTTGATCCTGATTGGAAGTTGTGGGAGATTTAGGAACTACCGTGTTTCCCCGATAGTAAGACCTAGCGCTATCTTCAGGGATTTCTGTAATATAAGACCTACCCCGAAAATAAGACCTAGTTCGGTGGTAGGTCTTATATTACAGAAATCCGCTAGGTCTTACTTTCGGGGTAGCTGCACATAAACTGAATTTTGAATGTAAAGACCGGCCGCAGCTCCCGCCCACACGCCAGCCACAGCTCACGGCCGCACGCACGATGGAAGCGACATGTCACCCGCCGGGACCGGCAACAGCACGCCGCCTTCCGGGACCTCGTCCACTCCTCCCCCAGCCAGGTAAGACATCCCCCGAAAATAAGACCTAGTGTCTTATTTCGTGCAAAAAAATAAATAAGGCACTGTCTTATTTTCGGGGAAACACGGTACTCTTAGGAGCTTGTGTGAGATACATGGACCACTTCTAGCACCTTCTCTGGGATCTGTGACCTCTCCTAGGACCTTCTCCGGGATCTGTGACCTCTCCTAGGACCTTCTCCGGGATCTGTGACCTCTCCTAGGATCTTCTCCGGGATCTGTGACCTCTCCTAGGATCTTCTCCGGGATCTGTGACCTCTCCAGGGATCTTCCCAGTGTCAGGGTACCATGCACAGGCGTCCTCACACCACATGTAGGTACACACGCAGGATGACCAAATTAATATGCCCACACTGGATAGGGTTATAGGCACACAGTTTATTTGTTACACATCAAACAAAACTACAAACACCCTCAACCCCCCCCCACAGGTTTAGCAGGGAAGTAACAGAAACCACGGTTGGGACAAACACACACCTACAGCCAGGGGGAATAGCAACAAGGAGGGTTAACAGGAGGGCAGCGCGGTGCAGGAACAGGATTCAAGGAGAGTGGTCCGTTCCCTAATCTTCCTGGGAGAGGGAGGAGGAGGGGCAGGCGGTGTGAGGCCTGTATGAGGGCCGTGTACAGACCGGCCCAGGAATGTCCCTGCAGGAAAAATGAGGGGAGACGGGACCTCCAACACCAATAACAGGACCTCCTCACCGGGGGCTCCGGACAGGACTGCTGGATGTTGTAGTTCTACTCCAGACTTCATACTGAAGGATTTGATCCTGATTGGAAGTTGTGGGAGATTTAGGAACTACCGTGTTTCCCCGATAGTAAGACCTAGCGCTATCTTCAGGGATTTCTGTAATATAAGACCTACCCCGAAAATAAGACCTAGTTCGGTGGTAGGTCTTATATTACAGAAATCCGCTAGGTCTTACTTTCGGGGTAGCTGCACATAAACTGAATTTTGAATGTAAAGACCGGCCGCAGCTCCCGCCCACACGCCAGCCACAGCTCACGGCCGCACGCACGATGGAAGCGACATGTCACCCGCCGGGACCGGCAACAGCACGCCGCCTTCCGGGACCTCGTCCACTCCTCCCCCAGCCAGGTAAGACATCCCCCGAAAATAAGACCTAGTGTCTTATTTCGTGCAAAAAAATAAATAAGGCACTGTCTTATTTTCGGGGAAACACGGTACTCTTAGGAGCTTGTGTGAGATACATGGACCACTTCTAGCACCTTCTCTGGGATCTGTGACCTCTCCTAGGACCTTCTCCGGGATCTGTGACCTCTCCTAGGACCTTCTCCGGGATCTGTGACCTCTCCTAGGATCTTCTCCGGGATCTGTGACCTCTCCTAGGATCTTCTCCGGGATCTGTGACCTCTCCAGGGATCTTCCCAGTGTCAGGGTACCATGCACAGGCGTCCTCACACCACATGTAGGTACACACGCAGGATGACCAAATTAATATGCCCACACTGGATAGGGTTATAGGCACACAGTTTATTTGTTACACATCAAACAAAACTACAAACACCCTCAACCCCCCCCCACAGGTTTAGCAGGGAAGTAACAGAAACCACGGTTGGGACAAACACACACCTACAGCCAGGGGGAATAGCAACAAGGAGGGTTAACAGGAGGGCAGCGCGGTGCAGGAACAGGATTCAAGGAGAGTGGTCCGGTACAAGCCGGGTCGGTGACAGGTTTGCAGATAGGTAGCAGAGCTCAGGTTCCAAGGCACAGGAAAAGGGAGTCAGTCAGGTGCAGGCGATGCAATACTGAGCCAGCTTCCTGACTGCAGGGAGGGCCTAAATACCCTCTCAGGAAGCACCAGGTGATGGGATAATCACTCACAGCCTGGGCACACCCGCAGGTGAGTACTGGAGCTGCAGGACCTGGCTCCAGCACCACCTGGGGGTGCTCTGGATCCTGACACCCAGGGATCTGTGACCTCTCCTAGGACCTTGTATGTGATCTGTGACCTCTCCTAGGATCGTCTCTGGGATCTGTAACCTCTCCTAGGATCTTCTTCAGGTTCTGTGACCTCTCCTAGGACCTTCTCTGGGATCTGTGAACCCTCCTAGGATCTTCTCTGGGATATGTGAACCCTCCTAGGATCTGCAGGCACACTGCCCACAATGCCAGGAGATGTTCTCGGACCCCCGAGTCCTGCCCTGCCTGCATACGCTCTGCATGGACTGCCTGAGCAAGCTGGAGCCCTTCACCACCCTGGAGAGGGGGCAGAAGCTGAGGAGCCTCCTGTGCCCGCTGTGTGATTGCGAGGTGGCGCTGCCAGCGGGGGGCGTGCAGGAGTTCTTGCCCGACATGCTGGCGCAGACCGAGGTGCTGCGTGTGCGGCTGCGGAGCGGGGGGCACCAGATGCCGTGTGACCTCTGCGCGGACGGGAAGGGCGAGAGACGGTGCCAGGAGTGCAAGATGAACATGTACGAGGCACACAGGTGAGGACATGGGCCGCGG